TTCAGATTTGTGAACTTGACTTTGTGGCTTCGTTATTTATTTTTGAAAGGTTGTGCAGAGTCATTGTAAAACTACGAGTTGTGGTTTAATTAGCGTCACTTTATTTTATTTTCCCGTTTTATGGTCCCTTTACTTGTCTACTTGTTATCCCTTTTATTTGTCATTATCCTGTTATTATACTCGATACTTTACCTGTTATTTCGTTACTTCTTGATATATAACTGTACACGTTTATTGTAGCTGTCTTGTCTTAGCCTCGTAACTACCTCGTCGGGGTTAGGCTTGATACTTACGGAGTACATTTGGTCGATTGTACTCATACTGCACTTCTTCACTTCTTGTGTAGATTCGGACGTTGGTACCAGCGGAGTCCGGAGAAGTGCTTAGCGGATACCAGTCAGGTGATTCGAGGTAGAGCTGCATTCCGTTCGCATGCCTTAGAGTCATCTTCCTATTTCTATTGTAGTGTTTCTACTTTTCAGACATTATTGTATTTCTTTCAAAACATTCATTTAGTAAACTCTAGCAGCTCATGTACATGTGACTTTTCGTCTTGGGATAATTGACATTAGTGTTGGTTTTAGACTTATCATGTATATTTTTGAGTTGTTTTATATCATATTATTATCTTGTTGTCAGTCGTAAATTGCAGTTCTTTCGTTATTTTCTGTTGAATCTTGACTTGCGTAGCAAGCAAATGTTAGACGCCATCATAAGTCTCATTGATTGTGATTTTGGATCGTGACAAAAATCTTGAAGCTTAATATGTTAAAAGTGACATGCTTTTGCCCAATCTAGTTGTACTACTATTACTACCGCTGACACTTCGGCCTAAGATTTTCCATTTTCGCTACAAATACAACAATTATATACCAAAATCATAGAAGAAACATTACCAATCGGTAAAAACGCGCAACCCATAATCATATTTCAATTGCTTCTGGAGTTAGAATATGATGATTTTCTCTTTAATCTTTAGTTTAATCTTGATCGAGATGGCTACTTTGACTGGATCAAAGAGGAGATTTTATGAAAATAACAAAAGAAATAGTATTATTATTTTAGGGAATTCAATTCGTATATATTTAAATTGCCTCTACTATTAATTAATTATTATCTTTATAGTAAATAGCAAAAGGTAATCCACTTGGAGAACGTAAAAGCAATATCAATGCCAAAGCCACGAAGATACAGATTCATTCATGAAAGCTGTTACCACTCGCTAAAGAGCAGAAGAATGCTTTTTCTCTGGAAAAAAAAAGAAGAGAATCTATAAGCTAAAGTAAAGTTCAGAAGTACTCTAAAGTTACTTTGCAATTTATCAGATAAGATAAAAGCTTCTATTTCAATCTCATCCCAATCAAGTGCATCAAAAAGTAAATATACACTTCTAACATTTTGATACCTGAAGTTTCACATGTGCCTTTATTTCTCCCAATTATGAAAGTCCTTAACTGATAAACCCCTTTTGCTTTTTCTTATGGATAAATGCTCATTTTTCTTTCCAACTTTGACATACTTTTGTTAGGATTCTGTAGATACGATAGGTTCAATTGGAGTACTTTCGTCAAAAACTTATATTGTCTAATAGAGGTGAAAAATAAAATTTTGCGCACATATATAAATTGTTTTATCGCTTTAATATAATAATTAAAACTTCTAGTGTTGCGTGAATGATTGAACAACAAAAGATATAGTCTTGGCCAAAAATTTTTTGAGGGGGTTTGCGCGCGGGGTAGGGTGGGTGGGTGGTGCAGAAAAAAAAAACAGAAAGCTAAAAATACAAAAAAAAGTAAAAATATTTTTGAGGGGGTTAGCACGCGGGAGGGGGGGAGGGTGTGTGGGTGGTGCAGAAAAACTAAAATAAAAAAAATTAAAAATACAAAAAAAAAGTAAAATTTTTTTTGAGGGGGTTTGCGCGCGGGTAGGGTGGGTGGGTGGTGCAGAAAAACAAAAAAAATAGAAAATTAAAAATACAAAAAAAAAGTAAAAAAAAAAATTTTGAGAAGGTTTGCGCGGGGAGGGGGTAGGGTGAGTGGGTAGTGCATAAAAACAAAAGAATAGAAAATTAAAAATACACAAAAAAAAAAACTAAAATTGGGCAATTAAGTAAATTTCTAGATAAGTTGGGTTGAGATCCCTTTGTTTTGGGTGAGTTTCATGGGTTGTATTTGGGCTGCTTAATGGGTCAGATGGGCCATAAAAAATAATGGGTTAACTCGGGCTCAGCCCAAATTGACCTATGAGCTAATATGTTTGTAGCCCAACCCATTAATCTCTGGGCAGCTTGAGCGGGTTGGGTGTGTTTGGGCTCAAATTGCCAGCCCTACTCTTTATATAGAGCAAAATTACAACAGAAAGATAAAATAAAATAGGGAACTACCAGCTATGTCCATTTATAAGTAGCTCATTACAAAAATTGGCCAATTGATAAAATATTACTAATATAGCCAAATTAGCCAATTAGCTATTTGTAGCAAAAAAAATATCAAATTTTTGCTTTGTTTTGAGTGAGTGTTATTAGAATAGATTGGGCACAACTTAAGGAGCTTGAATCTCAGTATTTGGATGATTTGGTGAAGTTTTAAGGTGGTTTGAATTGAAAATTCGAAGTAAAAGCTGAACATGAAAAAAAATGATATGTGTATCATTTGTGTATCACATATGTATCATATTTGTATCAATTGTCTATCACATGTATATCCATGTATACCTGTGTGTGTGATACATGCGTGATACATGTTTGATACATGTGTCGCAGAAGACTTTTTTGAACTCGATTTAATTACGAATTTTGATACAAAACCAGTCCAAATCACCTCCAATCTTCCTCAAATTTTGTATATTGACTCATCTATATATTTTCAATGAATTTCAACTATACCCATTGAAAAAGTTTCTTTTTTGTTTAGATTTTTGGAATATTGTATAGATTTTTGTATTTCATCACCTTATTTGCTACCCCGTCCATGAAATTTCCTTTCCGTCTTGTATCTAATGTTGCTAATCACGCTTAAAAATATGGAAGGTGATTTTTGCATGTGATTCTTTGAGAGAAAGAACCCTGTTATTTGGCTTTTCAATTTTTGTTGGCTAGTTTTGGTAAGTCTATGACTAATGGCTAGAGGTTGGTAAGTTGAGATTTATTTGGGACATTTGTGTAAGTTTCCCAATAAAATATATAAAAATATTTCCATTGAAATTTGTTAGATCTGATTTTAATGATGAGAATAATATATTTGCTCTTTGTATAGGAACTCATGGATAGCATTCATGATTGAAGGAATCAATCAGAGGCAATCAAGGAAAGCAGACGTGATTAAAGGAAGCGTTGATACTGACGGAATCAATCAAGGCTAAACTGAAGGAACAAATAAATCAAGTATATCGAAGATCTTGCAGAATAATCAATCAAGTATCTAAATCTGGAAGGATCAAGATTCCAGGATCGCGCACAAGGGAAAGTCTTTAAAGCCTCGCGTCAGTTATAGCCGTTGTGGAATAACCTTATTCTTGGGATGAATCTCTCTCTTTCCAAGGATCAAATCTCTTGGGTTGGCAAATCTCTCCAGAATTCAAGCCTCTCTCAAAGTATTTAAACTTGTAATCACACCTTAGCACATATACTTTGATCGAACCAAATACCCTCTCTTTGTTCTACTACAAACAAACTTTGTAGCTCTACTAAGACCTGTTGTGTAACAAGTTAGAGAAGAAAGAGAGAACAACACTGGTGAGGCATTGTATCAAAAGAAACAAGTGATATAGGAACTGAGCTATCAGTGTAGATTACACCATTCTCTGTGTACTCGAAGAAACTCATTCACTGGAAAAAAAAAGCTCCCTTGGAACCCAAGGGGACTGGACTAGGATTCACATTGAATCCGAACCAGTATAAAAATTCTGATGTCTTTAATTCCTGCATTTAATTTCTGCATCTTAAATTCTGTCGTTACTATTATCAAGTTATTACATCTAGTCGACTAATTGGAAAATTAGTCCACTGATAGCAATTAAGTTTAAAAAATAAAAATTCACCCCCCTCGTACTTTCAAAATTCTCACGTTTGAACTCTTCCGTGACTCAGGTGCATGCCTAGAAGCTCTTTGAGAACTGGTGAACTCTTTGAAGGACTCTCAGTTCCCGAGAAAGCATTCCGGAAATTGAACCGAGCTAACAAGAAGAGCAAACAGCTGAAACAAAACGAACAAATTCAAATTGATATGGGTGACGCAGATAACGTCAACGGGAAAATAAAACAACGCAGCGTCTTCCTAAGAATATCTACAACTTGATATGCAACATAAAGATGATGGACCTCAAGCTCCTTAGACTGCATAAGTTGACGAACAAAGGAAGCTCTAAAAGACTCAAGTTGGATGCAAGTGATGCAGGAAGAGTTAGATCAATTTGGCAAAAATCAAGTATGGAAACTGATACCCAAACCTGAAAATGTTCCTATAATTGGAACAAAGTGGGTTTTCAGAAATAAATTGAATGAGGATTGAAAAGTTGTAAGAAACAAGGCCAGATTAGTTGCTCAAGGATATTCACAACAGGAAGGAGTCGACTATGACGAAACATTTGCTCCAATAGCTCGACTGGAGTCTATAAGAATCCTTCTGGCATATACATCTTTTAAGGGATTCAGGCTATTTCAAATGGACGTCAAAAGTGCCTTCTTGAATGATTTTATTGAAGAAGAAGTATACGTGAAGCAACCTCCTGGGTTTGTAGATTCAAAGTTTCCCTATCATGTATATAAGCTAACCAAAGCGCTGTATGGACTGAAGCAAGCTCCACGAGCATGGTATGAAAGACTCAGTTCATTTCTTATTGATCATGGTTTTACAAGAGGTAAAGTAGACACTACTCTATTTACTAAAAAGTCATCAGAAGGTAATCTCATTATTCAGATTTATGTTGATGATATTATAATTGGTAGTGCTAATCCTCTTATGTGCAAGGAATTTTCAAATCTTATGCAAAGTGAGTTCGAAATGAGCATGATGGGAGAGCTAACGTTCTTTCTTGGACTACAAATCCAACAATCTGAAGAAGGAACGTTTATATGTCAGACCAAATACACAAAGGAATTGATTCAAAAATTCGGCATGAGCAATGCTAAAGCCATTGGCACACTAATGAGTCCTTCAACGAGCCTCGACAAAGACGAACAGGGAATCCCTGTTGATGAAACTAAGTATCGTGGAATGATTGGCTCACTTCTTTATCTAACTGCCAGTCGACCGGGTATTATATTTAGTGTCTGTAAATGTGCCAGGTTTCAGTCAACTCCTAAGGAATCACATCTGACTGCAGTAAAAAGAATTATTCGATATCTTATTGGAACTGCCTCTCATGGCTATGGTATCCTCGCTCTAACACGTTTAAATTAGATGTTTTTTCAGATGCTGATCTTGCAGGTGATAAGGAAGACAGAAAAAGCACAAGTGGAACATGACAATTACTTGGTAAAGCATTGATTTCCTGGAACAGTAAAAAACAAGCATCAGTTGTACTATCTACTACTGAAGCTGAATACATCGCTATTGGACAATGTTGTGCATAATTATTGTGGATCTCTCATCAACTTGGTGACTATGAACTTTCTTTTAAACCTATACCAATTTTCTGTGATAATTCTAGTGCTATATATCTCTCTAAAAATTATGTACATCATTCTAGGGCAAAGCATATAAATATCAAGCATCACTTCATTAGAGAACATGTCCTTAAGGGAAATATAGAAATATCTTTTGTTGGAACAACTGATCAATTAGTGGATATTTTTACCAAGCCTTTATTAGAAGAGAGATTTTGTTCACTAAGAGAATTACTTGGCATTATTTGCATTAATAGTTAATATAGGACCTATGTGCCATTATTTTATTTTGTATGTCAAATGTTCTATATCTTTTCTTATTCATAAATTACGCCTCCAATTTTCCTCCTTTTTCCTCTCTTTTCACATCAGTCGCAGAGTTCAAAGAAGGAAAGCAAATCATCGCGTCTGATCAACTGACGCCTTTTCCTTTTTTGTACTCAACCATCAGAAACCCTCTTTTTAATGCTGAACTTTCTTTTCAATCTCCATTGTCTCTATCACCTAAAAAACCCTTCTCCGAAAACTTGCCCAACCAAACACTTCTTCAATGTCCAAACAACGTAAAAATCCCTCTGCCTCAACTAGGAAGAACACCCGCTCCAGGGCAAAGCCCCCTTCTCAGCCCCCTGAACAGGTAGACCTAGGGTCTGATCATTCTGAGGGGTTTGCCTCTTCTCAGGCGGACTTCTCTGATCATTCTCAACCTTTAGGAGAAAAAGCCTTGGGAAAAAGACTCATGGAAGAGCCCCTTGTTTCCTTCACTCCAAAGAAATCAAAAATCGACCTTTCCAGTTCTCTTGATTCCGAACTCAATTTCTAGGATTCTCCAAATAGGGACTTCTTTATCGCCCTACAATTTCCATCGAGCGGCGGGTAGAATCCTTTGCAGACAACTTAAATACGCGACGGGGTATTGTAAGTGGCAGAGTGGCCTTGCTGCCACGATCCACTGAGATTCAGCCCTTTGTCGCTCCGATTCGTCCCTCCCCTTCCAAACCAAACAATTTCTAAATTTTCCGGAGGATATATTGATTTTTTGTAAGAAAAGCACTTTGACAAAAAAGATTCGATCTCCACTCGATACAAAGATCTACTTTTCACTGAAATTCTTATTTACACTTTACCATTAGATCTGAGAAATCCTCGACTATTCAAGGATTTATCTTTCAATCATTGTCAGAGGGAAAGTTCATTTATTCCATATCGGGTCTTGACTCAATTTTCACCTCGATCTCGGCTTCAAAAATGATCCGAAGGGAAGAAATTTAAACTTCTACTGGTATCACGGCTTCAGTGCCATAAACCAATCAAGTAAGGGCGGCTTCATTTGAATTTGATTTAGGCTTACTGTTCCAATTCTCTGTTTATTTTCTTACACTCCTTATCTTCAACACATCTGCTTCTTGATTCATTATTTCGAAATCTGACAGCGTTTTAGGATCTGGGCATGAAGTCCGCAAGCATGTCATGTTATTAAAATCTGGATTTATAGAACTGACAAGAGAATAAGAAAGGTGACAAGATTAAGAAATGAGACATTCATGGATGATGAAATATCGATTTCATTTATTTGAATATTTAAAAAAAAGATAGAAGGGTTTACATCAGAATATAAGACAGTAAAGTAAAAACATTCGGATGACACACTGAAATAACTCGAAAGGAAAAAAAAGATAGCAAGACCGGCTACCGAGACTCCCATCTGATAGGGCTTTTAGGGTTGGCGCCCGTTTTTTGTTTCTCTTCTGCCGCGACAATGGCAACTATGACTTTCAATACTGGATCAAATTCCCATCATCAAATCATTCCAAGCAGGCCATGTCCTATTGCTCAAATCTGGTAAAGTCAATCCCACATTTGCCTTCATTTTTTTATTTTTTACCGCCAACTTGCCTACTTGCCTTTTCTTGATCTTGGATCAACAACAATGGTGCTTGTTCCATTTGTTGAGAAGATGTTTTACTTCCGAGGATCTTGGATTGTTTGCGTGACTCGCCATTGCAAACCAACAAACCGACCACCTTTAATTAGCTTTTATTTCAAAACAAACAAGCATGTTTGAATAAACACTCTCTCTTCTTCTATTTTTTTTTCTTTTTTCTTTTAGCCACTTTTTCTCTTCTCTTTTTTATTTACTTACTTTTTTTTCTTTTCAAAATGATGCGATCGAACCTGATGTGGATTGCCTACGTATCATGTGGAGACATGAACCAAATCTTGCGTAGTTCGGGAAGATCAAGAATAAAATAAATAAACTAACTTTTTTTTTACTTTTTAAATATAAAAAAAATCTAATCATAAAAGCTCCTAATAAGAAAAATATTTTTGACCTTTTTGAAATCTCTATCTCTTTTTTTTATTAAAAATTTTCGAAAGAAAGACTTTTAAAAAGAAAGAAAAATATTTTTGGATTTCTATTTTTGGTAATTTTTGAAAGAAAGAAATTTTTTTTTTTTGGATTTCAAATTTTTTTTTTTTTGAATTTTTTGGAGAAAGACTTCTAAAGAAAGTGGAAATATTTTTGGATTTTTGAATTTGACGTCTTAAAGAAAGACTTCTAAAGAAGGAATTAAAGAAGAATATTTTTTTGGATTTTTGAAAATTGGGGGCCGGAACCGATGAGGTTTGCCTACGTATCTCACATCCGATGAGAATCAGACCCGTGCAGTTCGTAAATATTTCGGGAATAGGATGACACTTTTTGAAAAATTCAGGCTTATTTTGATAATCTTTTTGGGGTGAATACCGAGATTTTTTTTTAAACAGGGTAAATTTTCTCTCTTATTTTCTCCCTTCTGGTTTTTCCTCAATTTTTATATATATATTTTTTAGAAACCGGTCAACATGCACAAGCCGAATCAAACATAATGCACAAGTAGCACATAAGATGCATCAGGATGGTCTTGCAATTCTCGGGTACACCTGTCCTAGACGGACCCAACCCCTGTGTTGAGTCCCTAAAGTCAATGCACATGATGCAAACAAACGTTCCTACTAGGGATCCGGCATGAGGCTATGTTATTCTAGGTTTAAATCCTGGGGGGAGTGTTTTAGACCTGGCTTACCCAAGCGGACAGCTCGAGCCGAGGTGGGGGCAACGTACCGGGAGCACGAAAGTCTACCCGGCCTAGTTACTTGACCCAGCCTCGTTCTAAATGGTATGACTTCTAACAGAAAAGTGGGCCACGCGCACGTGTGCACCATAAATTCAGAAGACTCAGAAGGGAGACGTAAGAAGACACTTTAATACAATTCAAATAATATCAAAACGGTAAATAAGCGGAAATTAGCACATTAGGCCAAAGCACAGTAATGACATCAAATTAATAAAGCCAAGTATAGATCACATTACAAGCTCAAATTCTTATTATCCCCAGCACAGTAATGACATCAAATTAATAAAGCCAAGTATAGATCACATTACAAACTCGAATTCTTATTATCCCCAGCACAGTAATGACATCAAATTAATAAAGCCAAGTATAGATCACATTACAAGCTCGAATTCTTATTATCCCCAGCAGAGTCGCCATAGCTGTCACACCTCCTTTTACCCCGAGGAGATAAGGAAAGAAAGGAGTTTTTCCAATTTAAGTGACATTAATCGAAATGGGATTATTTATTTATTTCAGAGTCGCCACTTGGGATAATTTATGGTGTCCCAAGTCACCGATTTATTTTAAATCCCAAATCGAGGAAATTTAACTCTGTTTAAAGTCCGCGAAACCAGAAGACCGGGTAAGGAATTATGTTAACCCGAGAGAAGGTGTTAGGCACTCCCGAATTCCGTGGTTCTAGCACGGTCGCTTTAATAATTATACTTGGCTTAACTAATTCTGGATATTTTATGTTCTAGAGAAATTTGTGCACTTTTACCTTAAACCGCTTTTAATTGCTTGATTACTTGTAATTACAGAATTATCTTGAAACGAATCACGCGTACGTGTATTCGTTTTATTTGGTGTGTCAGGAATCATGTCACACGTATGTGTATATAATTAATAACATTTTATTATTTTTAAGATTGTTTTGTCAAAGTTGCGCGAACGCATACTTTGCCCTTAATTTGGGAAATCATAACTATGTCAAGCAAACGTGTACATGATCATGATAACGGATTGGTTAACACGCCCCTAAAGCATACTAGCTTATTCAGAGTATTCCGTTTATTTATCTTTTTTGATCCGAAATATTTGTTTATATATATCTTTATTATTTGGCTTAAATTAATTTTAAACAAAGTTATATTGATTAACGCATCTTTTACCTATAATCCGCTTTTAATTGTTGAACTTTTAATATCCTTGACTAAGACGCGTATTCGCGATTTTATCCTACGCTCACTAAGACACATATCTGTGACCTTAACTTGTGTATCGTACCTAAAAGATCGAAGTAACCTCGTACTAATTACAAAAAAATTTATTTCTATTAAAATATTTGTGTAAAAAATGTGTAGCCATGATCTTGTAATTTTTTATTTAATCCTGAGACGTGGAATCGAGACCTCAATTAGGACATTATATTGTTCACCCATTTATGATTGAACAATCTGACATTGTATTTAAGCTAATATTTTTGCTTTTTTTTTTTTAAAAGAAAATCAACTCACACTCCATCTCAAAATAATCTAATGTGCCAAAAGTACATTATATAATTCTAATTAAATTTAAACTCCAAAAGACAATATTATGTAACTACATTCACATCAGACAAAGTATAGAAAGATAAAATCTATTACCTTAAACAAACCTAAAACTAGTAACACTGTAAACGTAATGCTTATACAAATGGGCTAACAACTTAAAACCTTAAATTTAAACAAGCATTGTTTCATTCACTAACTGCATTACAAA